TATACAAGCTGGTTCCAACAGACAATGGTCGAAAATTCTACATGTCATATAAATAATTGACATGAATATATAATTAATAAATTATTACTGCATTTTCTTATAGTCTATCTACTACAGCCCCAACATATCCTTCAAGTTTTATGCGATTTAAAGGTCGCTAACTTAAAATCGATTTTTGATGGATGATATTTATGATTGTATGTGTAATTCTTAATAAAGATAATAATAAATCTACTTTTGTTATATAATAGAGAAAATGAGATCGAATCGAAACCAGTACCAACATTAAAACAATATTTTTCACCTGATTGGATAATTGAAAGAAATAAATGCAATGATTATTCTCGACTTGTTTGTAATCAATTTCATGGTTTGATTAATAATAAAGAAAATTCAATTATTAATTCAATTACAACATCTCTTAAACCAATTACTTCAAAAGATATTCATTATCCTGAATCAAAATCAACATCATTATTAATTATTGATTTTATATTAACATTAAAAGAAAAAAATCTTCTACCTTGTATTGTTTTTTCGGATAATCGATTATTATGTGAAAATATGGCTACAAGTGTTGCTGAATATTTTGAAAATTTAGAAAAAAATTTAAGAAAAACAAAATATAAAGATCAAATTGAATTATTAAAAGAACGTTTAGAAACAATAAAAAACGCTCAAAAAAAAATTAAATCAAAAAAAATATCAAAATCCTCTAATAAACGAAATCATGAAGAAGAGAATATTGTTGAATTAGAAATAACAGAAGAAGAGAAACATAATCAAATCTTACTTTCTGGTCTTGAACAACAATTATTAAATGGTATTTTGGATGAAGGTACATTAGCAAATCGACATGGATGTGATCGAGAATTAGTTGATTCTCTATTAGAACGAGCATTATGGGAAAATCCAAGATTAGTTGGATATATGCAACGAGGTGTAGCTTATCATCATGCTGGATTAAATAATAAAGGTCGAGTAGCTGTTGAAGCACTTTTTCGTAATCGATATGTTCAAGTTGTTTTCTCTACAGCAACACTTGGTATGTACTTAACAAAATGTAAAATGAAGACAAAAACGTATTTTTCATTTCTATCATAATAGCTGATGCAAATCAGAGAAAAGATTTCATTACTTAAAACGATTTTCTATTAGAAAAGTATTTGTGAAATTTTCATTCATAGATCTGGATCAGAGATGGGCACGGTTCGGGTTTTTCGAAAAATGAACCGAACCGAACCGAACCGAACTGAAATTTAAAATAAGCTGAGAAATGCATTGAAAAACTGTTTTTTGATGGGCTCGGTTCGTGTTTTCTCGAAACCGAGCCGAACCGAAACCGACGTCGGTTTGAAAAGCTGTGAATCGAACCGTGCCCATCTCTAATCTGGATGGAAAGTCTCTGAAAAACCAAGATTCAAATAAGCAATTTTTTTTTTGAATTCTATCAAAAACGTTTTGCAAATAAGTTCATCTGATACTGAAAATACCTCTGAACAAAATAAAATGTGTTCGAGTTCCGATGATCTATATTCAGCGAACTGAACTCATTCAGAGATAGACAATTCCACTGTGTTTCGCTCCAACTCTGATGGAAAAAAGCATCAACTTCCATACTCTTCTAAGCCTATCACAGAATAATCTGAAGAACTTGGGAACAATTTATTTTATTTAGAAATATTTTCACTATCAGATGAATTTGTTTGCAAAACGTTTTTGATAGAATCCAGAAAATTGATATAGGGAGTCTTGATTTTCCAGAGACGATTTGTTTTAGCTGTTACTATTAACGTCAAAAATACTGTATTTGTAAACTTTTGACCATTATCTTATAGAATATTAAATATTAAAAATTTGTTTTAGCTTTGGGTATTCATATGCCAACAAAAACTGTTGCTTTTGTTAAAGATTCAATCTATCTTGATGCTTTACAATATCGACAATCATCAGGTCGTGCTGGTCGTCGTGGTTTTGATATTCAAGGTCATGTTATATTTGTTGATATACCTTTATCAAAAATTAGTCATTTAATAATATCAGCTATACCAAATATTCGTGCACATTTTCCAACAAGTGTTACATTTTTTATGCGTCTTCTTCATTTATGTTCAAATAGTAAAGATTCAAATGATGCAATAAATCGATCATTAATTGCATTAGAATGTTCTTTACTTGCACAATCATCTATGAAACATCAATTTATAGATATTCAAACACGTTTTCATTGTTTATTTACATTAGATTTTCTTTATCGATTAAATTTAATTAATCGACATGGTGATCTTATTGGTTTAGCTGGTCTTCTAACACATTTACATTATTTTGAACCAGCAAATATTTTACTTGTTTATCTTATGGATACTAAATATTTTCATTTAGTGAAAGATGAAATTAAAATTATGACTATATTTGCTTATCTTTTTACTAATATGCCATGGTAAGTAAACACAATAAATGCGAAAACCTCGGATTTAAATCCGAGTGTTATGTGTACCTCAAAAAGTGAAAAGGTATATTCACTGTGTTTTTTATCACTAAATTGCAAGGAGAA